CCACTTCCAGAGCCACTAGTGGGTGGGCCTTTCCACTGCCCACCATGTCTGCTAGGAGCTCCAGCTGCCTGTGAATCTCCACGTGGGATCTACAGACACCTCAAATGTATGCCAAAAATAGCTTCTCGCTTCCTAAACTTGCACCCCTTCCTCCTCTCAGTGAGAGGCTGGAACCTGTGACTGCCTGTAGCAGACCTTCAGCTATTCCCCAGTTAAAAACTCTTCCTCCCGCCGGGCAGTGGTGGCACATGCCTTTAATCCCAGCACTTGGGAGGCAGAGGCAGGCGGATTTCCAAGTTTGAGAGTTTGAGGCTAGCCTGGTCTACAGAGTGAGTTCCAGGACAGCCAGGGCTACACAGAGAAACCCTGACTCGAAAAACAAAACAAACAAACAAACAAAAACAAAACAAAAAAAACTCTTCCTCCCTTGTGCCCATTTTCGCTTATGTCCCTGGGCCCAATAAGGGACACATGGATACTTCTTCACAGTGGGGTTAGTATTTTTAAACCTGAACCCAGGTGAGCAGGGATAGGGAGGGGCAGCAGTAAGTCTCCTCAGATCCCCTTCTGATCTTGGGAATGCCCAGGGGGCTAACTCTGTGGTCTATAGTTTGGTCAATCCCAGTGGGCAAAGCTTAGGCTGCCAGCTCTCAGTTGGTTACTGGAGGTACCATGACTGACACCTAGCAGCCATCACTTGCTCATAAGCAGCCACTGTCACCATAATGGATGGATGCTATTGATCCTGGTACAGAAAGTATTGCTGACCAAGCCCTGGGAGAGGTAGTGTTTCCACACTATCAGGGATTGCCACAGGGTCTGGTGGGACTGGGTCAGCCTGGGACCCATGTCCTTCCTTTGGACTGTCCCCAACATAAAGCTGTTCCAGGAAACAGAAAGAAACTACCAAGGAAGCCAGAAGGCTCCTAGGTAGCCTATAAATAGGGCAATGTGAAGTCCCAGCCACCATGTGGCCTCAGGAATCCAGGGCTTAGAGGCTGTTGTGCCCTTACAATTAACTTGGGTATCTGCAATTCTTCCTCCCCTAGCCTGGTTCCTCCTAACTCTATACCAAGCCCCTGAAGACAGGGGCTCAGGTCTTCTGAATGAAAGCAAGATGTGCTGTGTACAAAATGAATTTCTTTGATGTGTCCTACCTTCATGACACATGCTGCCATGTGTCCACTTGAGATCCAATGTGTGTCGTGTATACACGTTGTCCGCATGCACAGGACATAGCATGTATACTGTGGACATGGGCCCCACAAGCCCCACACCCATGCACTGTGCACACTTTGGGTATGAGTATGGTGCGTTACACATAGATGCACATTCACTCAGCTTTGAAACAGCCACCCTTTCTATGGGATGCTGTCATGTGCACGGATCTGTGTGTACACACAAGTGCTGCCTGCTGTCGTGCTCTGTTCAGAACATTAGTTTATATACATGTCTTCTGTCTAAAATTCTGCAAATAGCCATGTACAAGGCAGACACATGTGTACAGTTATTTTACAAAGTGTGTACACATAGGCAAACTTGTCAACACTACATGTGCACATGGTATGTGTACAGATAACCCATTTCCAAATTAATCTGCAGTCACCGCACCCACACTGAGATGTTCTGACATTCTCCCTGAGCACACTGAACTGTATATTGTTTTATATACATGTACTTTGCATACACATATATGTAATCAATATACAAAAGTGCTTTGTACAACGAATTTACATACCCTGTATGTAGAGTTGTGTACAAAGCACATACATGTAGAGAGACACACGCAGAAACACTGTCTACATGATGTGGCTCTCCACATTTTTGCACACACAAGCCTTAGTTCAGGTTCTACTCTACAGGTGTCTGTTTACATGGGTCCACAAGTTCTTGGATGCTACATGAGATACACATACATAAACTGTGTAAACATACTCTAAGAACATACCCTCTGTGCTCTAGTAAACGTTCAGTGTGCTGTCACAGAAAGTGCTGTACCAACCACTTTACAAAAGCCCTGTATGTAGTATCCATTCCCAGTGTTCATGGGCCCAGTAACTGGGCCCAGTATGTACATACTGTCTTGGGAAGGCTTCAGAACTCACTCACCTACAGACACAGCCTGGGAACAGCCCTCTGATGTATCAGATAGACAGATGGTGTGCACCAAGCTGGAACACAGGGCTCTCTGGGAATGTGTGACCACAAAGTAAATTTGCCTACCATGTCCAATTCATGTGAGGGTCATGTGCTTTCTATTTGCTGTAACGCCCATGATCTGCAGCACACTTGCCTGTACCTGTAGCCATATATGCACTTAGGAGATATGCAACTGTCCTGACATACCCTACACCCCTGTGTGAAGGAACACCTCTGGAGTCGAAACAGGGTGAGGTAAGGAACCGAGGTTCTGGGATTCTAGCCCCATTCTTTCCTAGTTGTGTAACCTTGGGCAAGTCTACTCTGTAAAGCCTCCATCCCCTTTCTCCTAGTCTGTCCAGTAGGGACAACGGTTATCGCATGAGGGTATCTCTGGAATGAGTGCATGCGGATGTTCGAGTGCGCTGTGTACGCACATGTATATGCACAGACAGTACACACATGCGCGGCTCATGAGAAGATGTTTATTTCATACATGGACATACAAACATGCAAGGCCAGAAGACTTTATCACTACACATGCACAGAAGGGGAGGTCCCTGAAGGGTGTGGTGGGTCTCATTGTGACCTTGAGCAAACCCCAGCCTACTTCAGCTCCTCCTCTGCACAGTAATCAGTTGTGGCAGGTGTTCCTCAAGGTAGGCCCTTCCTAGCTTGACCTCCTGCACTTGTTTACCATGGACACAGTAGGCCCAGGAGGAAGTCTTGGGTCGTAGGCAAGACTACTGTTCAAGGCTTAACTAGCTTCCTGGTTTCCATTGTGGACACTACTCAAGGATGCTGCTCTCGGGCCTCTAGGCCCTGGACCAGGAGGCTCCTTGCCCCACAATGCCACCACCAGGCAGCCTTTTCTCTAAAGGAACTGGAGGAAGGAGTTCCTAACAGACTCAGTCATGCTTCCTTTCCCAGGGAGACAGCTAGCTGACCTAGGGTTCCCGTTGGCCACCCCTCCCCCAGCACCTGGCGGGGAGAAGCGGCCCCCATCATTCAGCCAGGCTCTGCGGCCCAGCCTGTTCGGGCTCACCGGCCAAGTGGGGCCCGCTGCACAAGTGTGATCACGCGTGTCGTGCCTAGAGCCGGGGCGCACTCACCGGCCACAGTTGCAGTGGCAGACGCGGTCCTCGCCCCGCAGGTGCGGGAGGATGTAGTTATGGAATCGATCCAGCAGCGCGTTCATGTCCATCAAGCACGCGATGGCCTGGAAGAGCCCATGACCGGTCAGGGCGAGGAGTGGGTCGGGCCGAAAGGGGTGCCTAGGGGGAGCATTGGGCTGCAGGGATAGATGGGTGGGTGGGGAAACGCAGGGCAACCAGGGCGAGGGCAGCGCAAGGTAGCAGCGAGGGTAGTGCAGGGCAAGCCGCGGAGGGCAGTGCAGGCCGCACGGGCCGGTAAACAAGGAAGCAAGGTGGGGTAGGCGCGCGCGCGGGCGGCAGAAGCAGGGGGCGCGCGCGGGAAGCCCCTCCGCTCACCATCACGATCGACGCCCCCAGAATCATGAAGATCATGGTGTTCGCACTCATGGACATCGGGCGGGGCCGGGCCGGGCCGGAGCGCCGCCCCCCGGCCCCGGTGCCCCTCCCGGCCCCGGCCCGATGCTGAGCCCGCGCCGCCTCCGCAGAGGTCAGCGCTCGCGCGCCGGGCCGCCGCGGACCCCGGGGGCAGGCGCGGGCACAGGCAGCAGAAATGTGGGGGCTGCTGTAGGGTCGCTCGCCCGTCGCCCGTTGCTGGCAGCCCTCCGCTCCGCCCTCCGGTGCTCCCTGCGCCCGGCTCCCTGCGGTCCGCGCGGCGGCCCCCTCCCTCCTCCCTCTTCCCTCCTCCAGGCTTCTCCCTCCCTCCTTTTCTTCTTCACTATCTCCTCCCTCCTCCTCCTGCCTCCGCCTCCGGGGAGGGACTTCGCCGCCCCGCGCCAGCATCCAGGGGCGAGGTTCTCCACCCCTATCCCTGTGACGCAGGCCGAGACCCCTCCCCTCCGGCCTTGGCTCCACATTCTGCCCCATCTCATCAATCTTGGCTCTGGTCTCCTTGTCCAGTGCCGCTCTGAACTGGGCCTTGGCCTGGACCAGGTGGTCGTTTCTGCTCTACTTCTCCAAGTAAGGCCCCTCCTCCTGGGTCTCCTGGTTCCAAAGAGGGACAGGAAGTGTCAGCACCCGCCTCCTCCAGCAAGCAAGTGCCATCAGAGGAGGGGCCAACAAAGTCAGAGGATCCAGGGACTATGACTACACGACCAGAGGTAGGAGGGCAAGAGGGTAGGCGATACGGAATGAGCTAAGTATGCAATAAAGATCGTGGCAGTTGTGGGAAAGACTAGTAATCTTCTGGGTAGGAAGGGGAGCAGAGTTGCCTGAAGCCTGCAGCTCAATGTCTATCTATGATCCTCTTGTGGCTGCCGGTCATACTGGGAACCAAGTTGAGTCTCAAGCCCTTGTACACAGCTGACAACATAAGAACCAACATTGCCCTGTGTGACAAAAGCAAGGAGGAGGACAGCTGACCTCCAGCCCCCCAAGTCCAGATCCCACTGTGTCCAGAAGTTCCAACTGGAGAAGTTCAGTTTATCAGATGACACAGGCCCTTAAGCTGTTGAGGCACCAGGGTACTGGCCCTGTCAGGGTGGTCTCAGTTATGTCACAGGGCTGGACTTAAGAGCCCTGAGTAGCCTCTTCCTCTGCAGGGGTCAGGCCAGGAATTCAGGACAAATCAAAGACTTCTAGCAGCACCTATTTGTGGCAATTCCAAGGTTTGTTCCCCTCAATAAGATAGCCTGTTGCTTTATTTAGGTTTCTGTACAATCCAGCAGCGGAGAGAAAAGGGGTAGGTGGGCCAACAACAGGCATTTGGTGTAGGCTGTAGAGTAAACCATCTTTATTTCTTTTGGTGAAAAACAATGGATTTGAGTCTGGCATTTCTGTGTACATCTCGTTCCATATGTACAGTACATTGGTGATGTACATCTAGCAGTATAAACAAATATCAGAGGGGAAAACACACTGAAAAAGTGGCCTCAACAAGGTGGCTGTCAGGGCAGGCCATGCACCAGGCACAGCGGCTCAGGCTCAGTAGAAGCAGACAGTGTGCAGAAAGGCCCGGCCACTCTTCTCCTCGAACTCCTGCAGCAGCTCATCGATTTCATTCTCCATATCCTCAGTGTGCTGGATCTGGGGGAAAACACAGCCTTGAGTGAACCCAGGCATTGTGACACACCTTCCCTGCCCCTGCCCTCCACCACATCTTCTCTTCTTCAGGGAACCAGGCTTCAGGATAACTTCCTCAGGGCTGTCCCAATGGCCTGTTCCTACCAGATATATACAATATACCACAGAAGTACCCCATATTCAGAGTGGTATAATCAGATTTAAAGGGAGGACTTGACCCCAAGGCTGGTACTGAGGCTCTGTTCTCAGGCATCACAGGTACCTGAAAGCCTCACCAACCAGTGCTATCCCAACTTTGCAATGAGTGAAGTGAGGCATACGAAGACACAGGCATTTTCCTGCTGACCATGCTTTGTGGTGGGGCTGCCTGTGCACTGCGTCTGGCCTCTACCTTCTCCAGACACCAATAGCTTCTCCTGGTGAATAAGTGAAGCAGGCTGGATGTTGACTGCTCTGGCATGGCTACACAGTTTCCCTGGCCTCAGCCCTTTCTCCAGATCATCACCTAGACCACAAGTTCAACTGCTGGAACTTAATAGTAACACTAAGAGTGAAAGCTGTGCAGAGTTTAGCAGGAGTTTGGATCCCCCACACCGACTTCCTCATCAGCCTTCACTTGGAAAGCCAAAAGGACATCAATTCTCCACAGTCAGCTAACCTAAATGTAGTTCTTAAAGGCAAAAGTCAGGGAAAGGCACATGACTCTTCCCAAAGTCCCTCCATAGCACCTGAACAATTGAATACCTCCATACAGCAGCTACACAAGCCCTTAGGAAGCTCCTGCAAGATTGCTTTTAGAGAGGGATGCTGTCTCTGGGAGTTACCAGGTCCATCTTTGACAGCACTAGATAAGCTCTTCCAGCTGTCCATCAGAGAAAACTGAAATGTCAGTCAGTTTTTCCAGGAGAGGGGCCTGTGACCTGGGAGATGTCATATATCACTTCTATCATAGACAGAAGCACTGGGGTAGGGTTTCTTTTTTTTGGGGGGGGGGGGGGGGTAGGGTTTCAAGCCAAAGGCATTTGGTCACTTCTTAGTGTACTACTTGGGTTTTATTTGAAATTTAATATTTGACCAGGATGTAAAAATAAGTTGCTAGTGATGAGAAGCTCAAACAGGACTCAGCTGTAGCTACTTCCTTTGGTAGGCACTGCCTAGACTCAGGTGCTCAGACTCACACACTGGCAGAGCTCGCAGATAAGGAATGCTCCCAGAGTGGCCTCTTCATGGTTGTCCTGGATGTCCACATTGACCACATGCACTGGCTGGCAGGTCTCCTGTTCTCTGGAATTCAGATCTGCTTGGTAAAAAGAGATACAAATATTACAAGACACCAGGTGGCAGATGTGTCCCAAGTCCAGTTCTTACCACACCTGCCCCTGAACTCTGCAGAATATAACTTGAGGATTGAGCACCCAAACCCAAGGAACTAACTAACAAGAGGAACAGCCCCACAACATAGGCTAAGAAACCTAGGTAAACAGTGTACTCAACTCAGGCAATCCTATGCCAGTTAGTACTGACACCAACAGCATGTTCTATAAAATGCCAGGCCTAACAGGAAAAGCAAACTCTGAAGGCCACAAGGCTTAAGTGCTGGACATCAGTCTTATGCTAACTCCTCACAGGCTATCCTCCAGATGTCCATACAGGATATCTGTATGTAGAGGATATTGGAGTGCCTTCTATCACTATTGCCCAGGGCAAACATAAGTCTACCAGCTTAGTGTTGGTAGCACAGTCTAAACGGCAGGTCAGGCTCTGTGCACTCACCTTCTACAACCTGGTCATAGACTCTCTCTTCACAAGTGAGGATCAGGTCAAACAGGTCCTTGCAGTTCTGGAACCTTTCTGGACGGGGCTTGATTCTTTTATTTCTGTCCAACATATGTAAAATTCCATTTTGTGTATAGCTGAACACCAGAGTCAAGGAGCTTTGGATAAAAAACAGTTCACTAACCTAGACCTGCCTGTCATGTCCCCCTGCCTCTCAGGGCTCCAAGTTGGCCTTTGTCAACAGGGCCGTCATAGCTCTAGGCCTGAACACAAGCAGGGTCACCACTGCCCTACAATAGGAAGCACAGAGAAGGTGTGGACTAAGAGATATAACTTCCATGATAACCCGAACCAACAGAATGGCTCCAGATAGCATTGCCATTCTGACTGAACAAAAATTAGAGGCATGGTACAGGCCTCCTCTTCTCAGTACAAACTAGGCTAAAACTGATGCTTGTTTCTAAGTATCCAGAGCAGCATAGTAGAGCTTAGACTATGGGTAGTCCAGGGACTATCTGAGGATAGGCACCCAATGGGGATAGGGTGGCCCAATTTTGAAAGCCCCAGAGGCAGTGGCTCTCTTGGCTTTTGCCAGGGCTGATGGGCCTGAGCACAGAGGTACCATCTGAAATATCCCTTTGGGCTCACCAGGCACTCTCCCTGCTTTCAGTTGAACTGGAATTGTCCCTTCTGGACCATCAGTGGGAGTTTTCCAGATCTTCTTGTTGCTGAGGTTTAAGAAATATAGTGGAAGCCTGGTAGCACATGCCCTTTATCCCAGCACTCAGAAGGCAGATACAGGCAGATCTCTTGAGTTCAAGGGCAGTCTGGTCTACAGAGTGAGTTCCAGAACAACCAGGACTACACAGAGAAACTCTGTCTCTAAAAACCATAATTAATTAATTAATTAAATTAAAAATTCAATGGATTTTTTTTTCAGATTTCCTTCCTGCTGTAGCTGCTGGATTGGGGCTTTGTCTTTGCTGTAGGACTCCAGTTTGAGAGTAAAACAGATAGACACATATAAGAGATACTTTAACTAGTGCTAAAAGCAAAATCAGAGCTGTGGTCAATGTGACAGAGGAAGCTACTCAGAGTCAGTCTGTCATATGGGGTCTGGGACTGATGTCCCACTGAGCCATCTTACCAACATGTCAACTTATTTAAATAAGTTCACAGTGCCCTAAAAATAGCTCCTACGTTACTTTAGAACACATTTAGGTGGCCAATCTAAACAGTTTAACTGGAAAATACCTGACCAAGAGCTGCTAGGCACTTCCGTTCCCTGCATCACAGGCTGCTTCTGGAGCTAGGCCCTGCAGCCTGCTCCTTTCCTGTCTCCTCACTGCCTACAAGAAGAGCTCCATCTAGGCTTATAGAGCCCTTCAACGGTACTAGAGGAAATAATGAGTTGAAGACCTGTGGCTCCTATAGCTTCTGGGAAAGAGAACAGGGAGTAATAGACCTTTCCTGGGGCAGGGGTCCAGTCAAGATCCTGGTACTTGCTGGGCAGTGGTGGCGCACCCCTTTAATCCCAGCACTTGGGAGGCAGAGGCAGGCGGATTTCTGAGTTCGAGACCAGTCTGGTCTACAGAGTGAGTTCCAGGACAGCCAGGGCTACACAGAGAAACCCTGTCTCAAACCCCCACCCCAAAAAAAAGATCCTGGTACTCAGAATTAGCACTGACTCCAAGGCAAAGCTGGAGACAGGAGAAAGTCACATGGATAAAGCTAGGGAGAGTGAGAAAAGCCACTTTGCATTTTCCACTCCCCAGAGTCAAGACTCAAAAGTGCTCCAAGAAATGTGGTCACAGGACAGCCCTGCCTGGGAAGGCCCTGTTATGGTTTCCACCACATACATGCACTTCCTGTCTGGACAGAGACAACTTTTAAGTGACTACACTCAATGAAGAGCTATCTGTTTAAGGAAGGCTAGGAAACATTAATCATGTCAGCACCTAAACTGAACTTGACGACTTTTTGTTTGAGAGAGGGGAGGAGTTGGGGATGGGGTCCAAGAAAGGGTTTTTCGGTGTAGCTCTAGCTATCCTGGAACTACCTCTGTAGACCAGGCTGGCCTCAAAGGCAGAGAGATCCATCTGCATCTGCCTCTCAAGTGCTGGGATTTAAGGCATACACCACCACCCAGAGAACTTGACACTTCTTTTTTTAACTTGACACTTCTAACAACCAGCCTAGAAGTAGCTTAGAGGCCAGGCTAGACTATGTGGGTGAACACAGTAAGCAGAGCCCACTTTCCCAGGATCCCCTTTCTTTGTTGCTGTGTTTTTGTCAACCTCATTGAACAGCCAATTAGCTTGACAACAGTCCTGAGCTTAAGCCAGGCTTGGGCTGATGTTCACTTTGTGGAGCCCTGAGCTTCCCAGCAAAGCTTTCTAGGAGCCAGGGATACAGGTGTCAAGTTCGTTATGCCTTCTGGTTCTAATTAACCAGTCCCTGGAGTGAGGTTCCTAAAAACTGAGAGGTGTGCTATGGCCAATTGCTGGCTTTCTTCTGAATAAGGAGCACTCCCACAGACCCTGGAGTCCCATACTTGTACCTGTTGGCCTTCTGAGGCGCTTTCTCTGGATACTGAGGGAGGGGAACAAGGCTCATTCAGGGTTCAAACTGAGGGCCCCCAAAAGACCTGGAATGTTGTCTCACAACAGAAGGACAACTCAGAATCATTTAAAAACATATGGATTTACCATCACATAAACAATTCAAGTTGCTTTCCTTGTAGAGTATATAATTTCTTAATACATGTTCTTAATCACATGTTGTGATGGGATGGATACAGGAGAACAGGGAACACCGGATCTGGGACTCCTGGTAGACATCTGTAACCCTATCACAGAGGTAAATGGAAGAGGATGAGGAGGCCAACTTCAGCTACACAAGTCTGAAGGAAGCCTGAGCTATGTGAAACCTTGCCTTAAAAAAGAAAGAGGGACTAGAGAGATGGATTAGCAGTTAAGAGTACTTCCTACCATTCCAGGACTCCAGTTCCCCGTACTCACATCAGAAAACTTAACACTTTTAACACCAGTTTCAGGGGATCCGATGCTCTTTCCTAGTCTTTTCAGGCATCCGCATCCTTAAAAATGAAATCTTAACTATATATAATATAGCATGGTGGACTATGCTTAGTAATCTAGCACTTAGAAAGCTGAAGCAGAGGGACTGCCATTGTTCAAAGGCAACCTGGGCTACATAGTGAATTCTAAACCAGGTAGTTTAAAGTGAGACCCAGTCTTGGAAAAGAAAAAAAAAGAAAAAGAAAAATGAGATATGGGGTAAAAATAAGAGATTCTCTTTAGTCCCCACATGCACAGAACTTAATGACATACTGTCATATCCTGGGCTACTTCTTGTAGGAACATGAAGCTGAGGAGGGCTGGCACCTTGCTGGGCCTGCTCCTAGAATCATGCAGCATCTTCCTTTTGGGATTAAATACTTATTCATCCTCATACAAATTGAGATTTGACAGGTGTTAACCTAATCCTGTATTTACTAATTAAGCAATTCCCCAAAGAAAAGCTACTTTCACAGCTGACTTCATGGACACCAAGCACAGGCTCTTCATGTAGTAGTAGTACCAGCTATCCTATTACGTGGGAACAAAATCAGGCATCCTCAGCTACCCACAAAAGGATGTTTTATGTTTTCGCTAGAGCTCAGGGCTTTTGACAGAACACCCTATGGAGAAACACCAGACCAGTGAAACCCACAGGCAGGGTCTCACCATCAAGGTCAACAGAGAATGAGGCCAGCCACCAGCTGGAGCCTCAGCAGTAGAAATGGATTTAGAAAGGTCAGCCACCCAAGGCAGGGGCGAGCAGCTTCTTGGAGAAAGGAAAAGTGTGCATAGGGCAGGAACTGCTTAACACCAGCCACCTCCTGCTGGCTCACCACTGCAAACAGCACTGCTACTCTGCCTTCTTTGCTTACTTGCCTGTATCTGTTGTGAGGAGGTACACAGATTCTCCACACCCTACAACCACAGGGCCTCTCAACTGCCTCTTATCAAGTTATCTCCAGGCTGAACTTCCTGGCTTGAGTCAGGCCTTGGTTCTTGCTATGAATAAATCTTCACAGAAACCTCTCAAGCACAGATTTCAACCATCCTGCTATTTAGAAGCTAGCCAAGGGGTCAGCACAAATCAGGCCTTATCTCCCCAGAAACATAACCAACCAATTTAAGCCTGATTCAGAACACCATGGCAATGTTCCCTGAGACAGGACCTGGGTAGAAACAGAATCCTGAGTGGCTCTCAACCTTGGTGGCCTCTGTGCTGTCCTGACACGACCAAGTCAGAGTATCCTCTCAGTCACAGAGATGCAGTTAGGGAATGATGCTGTGTGTGTGTGTGTGTGTGTGGATGTGAGGGTGTGTGTGGGGCAATTGCAGGACTCCCAGCCCCTCAGAGAAGCAGAAAGCAGGCACTGGATGGAGCACCAAGTTCTCTTCAATCCACTATCAAATCTGGCATGGTGGCACACACCTTTAATTCCAGCATTTAGGGAGGTGGAGGCAGACAAATCTCTTTAAATTCAAAACCAGATTAGTTTGCACATCAAATTCCAGGCTAGCCAGGGAAACAGGTAAAACCCTGTCTTAAAACAAAACAGCCGCCCCGGGCGGTGGTGGCACACACCTTTAATCCTAGCACTTGGGAGGCAGAGGTAGGTGGATTTCTGAGTTCGAGGCCAGCCTGGTCTAAAGAGTGAGTTCCAGGACAGCCAGGGCTATACAGAGAAACCCTGTCTTGAAAAACCAAACCAAACCAAACCAAACCAAACCAAACCAAACCAAAAAACAAAAACAGCAACTATCAAGAATAATAAACTTCAAATGAATTAATGAAATCATGGTTTGATTAACAGCCACAAAAGCTAGAACAGGTCCAGCCTCATCTCAGAGTGCAAATTCTTTAGAGTTTAGTGTCCACAGCATTAAGAGCCCATGACTTTAGCTGACAAGGACACTATTTACTTACCAACCACCATCCTTTAAACTCAAGATCTTTAAAAATTTCAGGCTTAGTTACAAATGCTTTTGTGTCTGTGTGCACACATGTGCCATGAGGCCAGAACACTCAGGTGGTGTTCTTCAGGTGCTGCTACCTGTTTGGTTTTTGACAAGATCTCATCACTGGCCGAGCTGGCTGGCCAGTGAGTCCCAAGGATTCACCTGTCTCTTTGTCCCCAGTACAGTTATTACAAGCATATCTCGCTCAGCTTTTATTACATGGGTTCTGGGGACTGAACTCAGGTCTTCAAACATTTTACTGATGGCTATCATTCCTGCTTGCCACCTTCTGAGATAGCATCTTGTTCTGCAACCCTCAGTGATCTCCAATGCCACATCTTCTTGCCTCAGCCTCCCACATGGTTACATGTATGCACCATACTCAACTACAAACACAAACTTGTCCAGGTCTGCATGTCTATGCCATGCTAGCTGTTTGATGTACCTGCCTTCCAAGGATGGGCCAGAGAAGCCGCAACTACCTTTCTACCTCCTAGAATGATTAATCAACTAATTAATTAATTAGGTTTTCTTCTCTTTGTTTTCTTCCTTCCTTCAGTTTTTTTGAGACAGGGTTTTTTCTGTGTAGTCCTTGCTCTGTAGACCAGGCTGATCTCGAACTCAAGAGATCCACTTGACTCTGCCTCCAGAGTGAAGGGATTAATGGTGGGTATCACCACTGCAGCTGCCCTGCAAAAGCACAAATTTTGAGAGGAAACTCAAGTCTCAACTAATAGATCCCCAAAGGCACAACTCATAAGTGGCTACTCACTGTGAATACATTAAAAAATGTTGTGTGCATGTGTCAAATGTGTGCATGCACTGGTACATGTGTCAGTGTATACCTGACAGTCAGAGGACATCTTGTATGAGTCAGCTCTTTCTTTTCAGGATTTAGGGCACTGAACATAGCTGTTTGGCTTGGCAATTGTCTTTTCCTGCTATCTGGCTGGCCCCTGTGACTATTTTTTTGTTTGTTTGTTTGTTTTGTTTTTCAAGATAGGGGATTTTTCTGTGTATCTGTGGCTGTCCTGAAACTAGCTCTGTAAACCAGGCTGGGCTCTAACTCACAGAGCGCCTGTGCCTCCTCAGTGCTGGGATTAAAGACGTGTGCTACTACCACCAGGCCTGTGACTGTTTTAACAAACCTTCTAGGGCAATGGTTTTCAACCTTCCTAATACTGCAGCAACCCTTTAATACAGTTTTTCATGTTGTAGTAAACGTCAACCATAGAATTATTTTGCTGCTACTTCCTATCTGTAATTTTGCTACTGCTATGAATCATGCAGCCCCCAAGGGGCTACAGCCCACATGCTGAAAACCACTGTTCTAGAGCTTACGTGTCTAGACCATCAGACTTACTACTAGACCATATTAAACCCAAAAGTCATGAATGATAAACAGTAAAAATGGAAGAACTTGCTGCCATGAGACAAGGTTCACTATTCTGTCCTGATGTAAGGTAAGCCAATCAAGTCGTTTAATGGGGACTTTGTCATAGCAATTTCAGGCTAGTTAAATGCCCAGATCCCCAACGATGACTAAAGTACCTAGGTTCAATGTCTCACACATAGCATCCCATAAACAATGCCTCTTGGAGAACAGTGAACACAAGAGTCTACTGGCTAAAGGGAACCAGCAGGAAATATGAACAGCACTACTGTGAGACAAAAGAGTTACTTTGGTAGAAAAGGAAAAAACTTAGATAAATACAACTTTTAGGAAGAATGTTCATTCCAAGCATGTGGCTTCAGTCTTAGAAACTGTCAGGTATCCTAGGACACAGCCTCATAGTTGAAGGTCCCACAGGCACCAAAGATGGCAGAACACAGGCCAAACCAGAGGTGCTGTTAACACCTCTGGTTATCACAAAATTTCAAGTGATGGCAAAATGTCTGTTAGGCTAAAACTAGCAGATCAAGTGGAAAGTAGGTTTGCTTGAATAGATTCTGTACGCTACTGCAACAAGATGCTTCTCATACTCAGTCTTCTAAAGTCTACTTTCTGATGAATCCCTAAGATAATTTATGCAAGATGAGCTGTGTATTACAAGTTCTTCAAAGCACAATTGGGCTATCAAATGGAAAGGAGACACCAAGTCTAGAGGCCTGAGATGGCCAGGGGTACTTGTCTGAATTGGGCACTGAGGATCTTTGCTGATCATAAGAACAGAGATAAATGCAATTACAGAGCACCAATTTTGGACTGAGATTTACTTCAGTGGACGAGTCTTAATTTAGGTACACCAAGGGTACACAAAGAGCATGGGGCCACCTGTATTTCCAGCAAGCCCGATTTTCATATCTGCCCATACAGAACCTATTGAGGCCCAGCTTGGTTTTCTGTTTGTTTAGTTTCTTTGCTAATGACTTAACATTTTTAATTCTTTGGGGTAATCATAAGCCTAGAGTATAACAAAAAGTCAGGACAGGGTATGACTATATGCACCTATCCCACCACACACAGATGCTGAGTCTCTCAGCAAGTCTCAGTATACCTCCATTCCTCAGTATTGCAGCAGGAGACTTATGTTCCCAGGACGGGATACTGCTTGACCT